CAGCTGTGATGAAAAATAAAAGCACAACATTTGCAGGAAAACTGATGGAACTAGAAATTATTAAGCAAAGCAACTGAAATTCAGAAAGAAAAAGACAAATTTTCTTTCATGTACAGATTATATGTGTGTGAGTGTGTGTGTATATATCTGTCTCTGTGTATGTATGTGTGGATGTATGTATGTTTGGGGTACAGTGAGTACAGGTCATGAAATTAGAAGAGGGACAACAAGAGAAGGAAAAATAATCTAAAGCAGTGGGGAGAGAGGATACAATGCATATATCATGGAAGTAGAATGGGGTCTACTGAGGGGAGAGTGGGGACATCAGGAGGTGGATAAGCATGGGGAAGTGGAGTGGGGGAGGGCAGGAGTGACTTGCAATATGGATATAATCTGAGGTAAAGACTTTTATTTAACCTTTCAACCAAAAGGTTAGTGGTGCCAGGTATGGTGGCTCACACCTTAAATCCCAGCACTTGGGAGGCAGAGGCAGGCAGATCTCTGTGACACTGAGGCCAACCTGTTTTATATAGTGAGTTACAGGCCAGCTGGGGCTACAGGGACACCTTGTGTCAAAAATAAATAAATAAATAAGTTGCTATTTATAATGTAAACAAGTTCACTGAACCACCTAGGCATCTGACCTTAATCCCTCAGAAGCCTTCATTGTCCTCCACCCAGGTAGTGTATGAAGTATGCATGCTTTACATATCACAGGTCAGCAAGCAGCATGTTTATCTCATTGAAAGCAATGAAACTGAGAATGTCTGTGTGGGTATTCTAGGTCTAGGGATCAAAGAACAAAGTTGTCTGATAAGGGTGGGACCTAACTTCTAATTCCTCATTTCATGCTGCAGATACTGTTTCAATAAAAGAATGAACAAATCCCTCCTCAAAATCACAGTGTAGAAAGATATCTGCTCTTTGGGTCTGCTCCTTGCCTTAAAATGAATGCTGAGATTCAGACTGTTTCTTAACGCCTAGCCATAATGTGGCTTAGAAATGTCACAGGGGAAGAAGAGAAACAAAAATATGTATGACTGAAAATGCCATGATGAAACCCATCACTGCATATATCACCTAAAAATAATAATAAAAAGTGAAAGTAAAAAGAAATGAAGCTGTTGTATTGTATAAATACAATTTTATTCATCTATAAAGCAAAACAAAATCCTGATAATAAGAGGAAAGTTGGCAGAACTAGAGATTGTGTTGAGAAAATTAACCAAGACTCAGAATGACAAATATGCTTTTTCTCAAACTCAGAATCTAGATTTGAGTGTGTATGTCTATGTAAATGTGTGGGTGTGTGTCTGTGTTTACATGTATGTGCCTGTACACCTGTGCATGTATGCACATGTGCATCTATGTGTATGTGTGTGAATTTGTATGTCTTTTGAGTATGTATGTGTGAGTGAATTTGGAAACCAGAAAGGGAACCACAGAAGGAAAGATATCTAAATTGGAAAGAATTATGGAAAACGAAAACAGGACTCTTTTGAGGGTGGGAAGTGAACCAGCAAGAGGAAGGAGTAGCATGAGGGGAGGGCAATGAGAGCAAAGAACTGAATAAGAAACATGTTGTGGCATATATGGATGGAAATGCCATACTAAAACTCTCATGTAGTGTGCTAACAAAAAATAATTTAAAAAATCAGAACCTCAGCCTATTTTTCAGCATGTTATTCTCTGAGCCTTACAGGAGTGTCTCCTTTGAGGTTGCAGTTAAAGGCTTCTGGTTTTCAGTATCTTAAGTTAGCAGTTGGATGTCCTGAAACTGTCATCTTCCTTCGTGTGTGTGTGTGTGTGTGTGTGTGTGTGTGTGTGTGAAGTTATCATAACTCCATCAACTTGTATATAGCAAGAATTGCTCAGTCTCCTAAGACGTGAGCCAGCTTCACCTTCTTAGCCAACCTAACCACTGTATGCTAGGAGGTTACTATCACTTTACCACCTTGTAGCAATCACCAACAATATGGTCACTATTATTGTTATTTGAGTGAGTAATCCAAGTCTTAAAAATCTGTCTTGAGCATCTTTATTTTATAAATATTGTGATGAAAAATTATCTTAGGGAATTTTAGAAAACAGCTTGAGGAACTTATTCAGGTGGTAAATTTTTCATTTCAGAAATAGAAGCTCAGAACAGAAAAAAAAATGTCTGGAAAAGCAAACAACACAAAGGAAGATGTTATGCAAGGTGCTGGGCACTGCTTCACACAATGCAGGAAGTCCCAGTGCAGAGCTCAGCAATGTTCAGGCAACATGCAGGTATTCTCCAGAAGTGTTGCAAGGATGAACAACTTCGTATATTGGGAGGGAAGAGAATTGATCTCCCTGGCTACCTTCTGCCCCCTACTTTGTGTTGGTGAAGTTCCAACTTTGGGATAATCAATTCCCTCTCATTTCAAAACAATTATCTCACTTGAGAGAATTCACTGAAATCTAAGTCTGGCATGTGTTGAGATGAGAATCAGAGAAACTGGAGTATTCTGGGAAATGTAAGAAAGGAGACAGGGATTTTGTAACAAAAGAAGCCCTTGTTTCTATTCATACATTTGTCTTTTCATATCTTCTAATAGTGAATAAGCTTAGCATGATATCTAGGCTCTTTATTTTGTTCATGTGGAAAATTAGATGCATAAGATGTTCATAACTCATGCCCGTGGGACTTTAGAACTTGATAGAAGAGTATGCATTTTGGAAGAAAAGAATTAGTAAGGGTTACAGTCTTCAGTGATACATGAGATTTGGATATATGGTTAATGAAGTTAAGTAAGATTTGATTTACTAGTCTACAGTTGTTTTAAAGCAAAGCTTGCACACACAGCATCTACCTCTTGAATGTCTTGGCCCATTTCCACCATAGCTCATGACTACATTCTCTTTTATAACATATCAACCTAACCAATCAGAGTCCAGTCAATAAATTCATCAAAAACTAGACACTCTTACATGAATATGCATCCTCATGAAGTTTGTGAACTAATACAGCTAAATACAGCAAACTTCACTTCTTTTGATAGTTTAAATAATATATCATGTGCAAGAATCTTGGCAGTCCTAAGGACAAAAGTGTAAAAGAACATCATTATATCTATGAAGATATTAGTAGGAATCAAAACTTTCAAAAAGTAAGATGGGTGATAGAAAGAGACAATTATGTTGGGGAGATCACTCCCTTTGTAATTCATGTAACTATGAACATTTACTTTCCATTTCCATCACATTTTTAATCCAGTAGCAACTGACACTGAACATAATTTATATAAACTGAGTTTATATTAAATTATCACAATGCCATTAGTAGACAAACTGTTTCACAAAGCAATGACTTCCAAAAGCTCAGTGGATGATTCATTGCTGCTCTCTTTTAATTTTCTGAGCATAAAGAGATTAATATTTTGAATGTGCTACATTTTCAATCTACAAAAACATTCCCAGATGAGGAGTAAACACTAATGGAATTTATTTATTTATTTATTTATTTAT